CGTGGTTTGGCATCCGGAGGTCCAATGCAGCAGTGTGGTGCTGCAATCCTGTTATTAGCACACTTCGTCCGCAGCGGCTGTCGCCGTAATCGCCCAACTTAATCCCGTCGCCCCAACGAAGCCTTGTAAACTTGTGTTCGTGTTAATAAAGTTTGTTTGTTCACCTCAATCTGTGCCCCTACGCGCCAGTACAACAGCATTCATCTAGCTCTCGTCTGAAACTCGTCGCACCAGCATCATCGTCGTAACGTCGTTCCTCGTCGTCCGCGCGTAACAATTTTACAAGTTTTCTAATTCTCATTTCCTACCTTAATTTTTGATTCTTCTTGCTATTTCATCCTTTGTTAATATATCTTTCTATTATGGATAACAGAAGGGCAAAACGAATGCCTGAATGATATTCACTTAATAAAAACCGAATAACTGAAGGTATTAGTGCGGTAGAATTATCCTTATGAATGACTAGAATGAAAAATGATTCATACGAATGGCTATATGAAATGCTGCGGATAAAGTAGAATGAAAATAACGATATGTAGAGAAATTTCCAGTTGCGCAGAAGCAAAATAACGAGAAGTGGAGAAATTGCCAGCTGCACCAATGGTGAGGAGAAATGTGACGATGAAATAACTGACAATCAAGATAATAAGTATCAGAATAAGCAAATTACGAAAATTCAGATTTCCGTTGGCCTCTCTGCATCAAATTACTCAAAAAATTTTGAAAAGTAATTCAAAACAATTCAAAAAGGACAAAAAAAAAACGTACTTGAGACAACAGTAGAATCTGTTGCAAATCATACAGGGGAAGTGGATGTAAATCTGTAATGACAACTGGCTCCACATCCAGTGCTTTAGCGAGAACCCTTTCGTAATCGTAATCATTTCCGTTTTCGCACTGCATCAGGGCAACTGGTATTCCTGAAACAAAAACAGTGAAGACAACAGTTTAATTCATGCATGAATGCTGTTTTGGTCCCAAAATCATGTGTGGGTACAATGCTTTTATGCTTTTGTAAAATCCGATATCGCTAACTTCCAAACACACCTTTTACAAGCGAAAAGCATAAGAAGTTGCATTTAAAAAACAAGTAAAATAAAGGAAAATTTAACACTTACCTACCACTGCAAACATAACTATTTATTACAGAGTTATTCAACCCACTGATTTTATAATTAAACAACACAAACAAGTGATGGAAATAACGAGTAATGAACAAGTAATATATTAGATTTTATTACTTAATAACATTATATCTTTTCTATTCCTATCATTTCTTCTATCTCTTTAAGGTCTTCCAATTCTTCTACTCTTTTCATTCCTTCCGATTTACATCTCTTTCATCTATTTAATTCTTACACCTCACTAAATTATACTGTTACCACAGTCGTCGTACTGATGAGGTCCAACTGTGGCAACGGTAAGAAATGTATACGACTTAATGGACCGAAACGTTTCTTACCAACTTTAATAATTCTTTACAAACCTTTCATCTTTTGTTCATATTTTCTTCAAAACCTTAAATTAAAAAGGAAATACCAAAGGGGAAGCTGTAAAATTCTGTGAATTTCTCTGGCATATTGAAGAAAGCACATGAATTCCAACAAGGCAAACACTT